TGATCATAGCTAAGGGATAGTTGATCATAGCTAGTGACAGTTGATCATAGCTAGGAACAGTTGATCATAGGTAGGGACGGTTGATCATAGCTAGGAACAGGTAATCATAGCTAGGGAAAAGTGAGGTATAAGTGTGGAATACTTCTATGGGAGACTATACGTATGAGCGACTATATGACATTCTACCATGAAGTACATCCCTCCCAAGGAAAACAAACACTCGATCGATCGATAAAGTCAATAAAATACACAAACTCGATGGAGATTCAATGTTTTGGCTGGTTTCAGGTGGTTTCAAGATGATTTCAGGTCGTTTCAGGTCGTTTCAGGTCGTTTCAGGTCGTTTCAGGTGGTTTCAGGTGGTTTTAGGTAGTTCCTTGTCTTAGTAAATACCAATAGTACTATTTTAGATCAATGACGCAGTAGAAATTCCTTGCCCGCCCCCATTCAAGCTTACGGCACGAAATACGTTTTTGTCATGAAAATATTCGACTAGACATAAATATGTTTTGCTAATCAAACCTAACATAATTTTTCTTGCTAATAAAATAATATAAAACTCGTGCGAGTACTATTTTACATCAATGACGCAGTATAAATTCCTGGCCTGTCCATTTACAATTTTTTGTTTACGTAACTAATTCGAGTTGTATCAAAAAACAAAAATCGCACTTAAAGTTTCTAATTTAGCTCCAGTTTCTAATTATCTGCTTAGAACTACCAAATTAAGTTTAAAGTAAGTTGGATTAAGGCACTCTTACCACGAAAACCACATATGTTCAACCTCTTCCACCTCCTCCGTGTCCCGATCTTACAGATCTCAACATGCATTTTCACCTCGTGTTTCACCAATGTCAATCATGACGAGGTCCACCAATGGCATTCGTAACACTAAATTCCGATCATACCTAACTCAACAAAAACAAATGTACTGTGCCCATAGGCACAGCACAATAATAGAATGGCTGTTAGGAGTATGATTGTATCACACCCATAAAATGATTAAATCACTCTGGGTATACCTTCCTGGTAATTGGTTCATCATTAATTCCTTTTGTTGAATCAGTTTTCAATTCTAAACCTAGAACTGAAATGTTCCTTATAAGTGATATTGAGGGTGAGACTTTTGTTGTAAAAATATTTTGAAAATATAAGAAAAGAAGTTAGTTTATTAATTCCATTGTATGTATTTTTTTAAATTAATGATAACCACTTTCAGGTTATGATTTTTCTATATAGCATTGTAACAATTCCTTCTGTCTAACACCCTCAAGATGCAGAATAGCTAGRTTAAAGCTATAGTAGAATATTCCAGCACCCAACTTGTGATAAAAGATGATACAAAAAGGGCTGAAAT